ATTTTTAATTGTTATTTGATTTGATTTGATTTTATTTTCTTTTATTAAAAAAATGAAAAACGAAAAAAAAGAGTGTTTGTTGTATGATCCATACCCAAGGCGATGATTTTGAACCGTTTGACTCCAAAATAGAATGAATTTCAAACGAAAACGCAAGGAACACAAACAAAAATAACAACATCAAATGATTGACAGTCAAAATATTCATATTCTTATTCAGCCAACTGGATGGCGCCACCCGTTCAGCAGCAGGAGTGAGGTGAAATAAACGAAGGAGACTTGCCAGTTTCAATATTCTTGACGCCAATAGTCGTGCCTGCACATTCTTGTATTGTGTATCCAGATTTCGGGGTAAACAATTTTCAGATAAGGGCGGAGTGGATCAATTCAATGAGCAAAACTCTCCAATTCTACGGGTTATCTCATGAAAATCCGAACACACATATCTCTAGATTTCTAGAAATTATCGGAACTTCCATTCTCCAGGGGTTAATAAAGACGCTATTAAGTTGTGATTATTTCCATATACACTGAGAGATGTTGCATTGGAGTTGTTAGACGCTGAACCTCATGGAAGCATTACTACATGAGAAGAACTGATCAGAAAATTCTGCAACAAATTCTTCCCACCAGCGAAGGTAACTAAAATCAGATTAGAAATTAAAACTTTCCAACAGAAAGATGGAGAGAGCTATCACGAGACATAGAACAGATTCAAAGAGCTGATGCGAAAGTATCCAAATCATGGAATCACAATAGGAAATCAAGTGCAGTACTTCTACACTGGACTCTCAAGACTTTCAAAATCTCAGGTAGATTCCTCTGCTGGTGGATCGATCATATGAAAATCAGTACAACAAACCATAGATTTATTTGAGTTAATTGACATTATACATTCAATGTTTTCATCAGAAAGAGTGGTACCACTGAGAGCATCTGGGATGTAAGAATTAGATATGACAACATCTACCAATGACCAGATAGCAGCGTTGACAAAGTAGGTAGATCTATTGGTGAAATCACAAATGAGAGGAGCACATGCAGTGATTGGTGGTCCATCATGTGCAAACTATGGAGCTAACCATTTGACAGAAAACTGTATGTCTATAGGCTTTCCCGAGGAACAAGTCAACTTCATTCAGAATAGTTCCCGCTATTTTAACTCATATTCACAAACATATAACCCAGGATGGAGATAATACCCAAACTTGAGATGGTCAGCAAGGGAATAGTTCAATTAATGCCCAGCTAAGAAAAAAATCAAGTTTGGGAGAGATATTTAATTAGTATATGCAGAAAACAGACATGGTGTTCCAGCAAATTGATACAAATTTTCAGAATCAACAGGTATTGATCAAAAAGTTTGAGACACAAATTGGTCAGATAGCTCAACAGCTTGCAGATTGCCCACAAGGGACATTGCCAGACAATACAATGATAAAACTAAAGGAGCGAGTACAAGCTATTACAACTAGAAGTGGAGTACAATTGCCAAAGATACATGTGAAGATGCTAGACAGAAAAGACAAAGTGATAGAAGTTGAAAAACTACACCAGTTGCATAAAAGGAGGAAGAGAGAAAGGAAAAATCTACAGTAAGAGCACCAAGTCCTATAAAAGCTTATGTGCCACCAATTCCCTTTCCTCAACGGTTGTAGGACAAAAAGCTAGACAAGCAATTTGTCAAATTTGTAGAGGTTTTCAAGATACATCTCTTTTACAGATGCAATGCACAAATGCTCAGTTATGCAAAATTTCTAAAAGAAATATGTCCAACAAGAGGAAGCTGGAAGAACATGAAACCGTCTGTTTAAACCAGGAATGCAGTGCAATTCTCTTAAAAAAGCTACCTTTTAAGCTAAAGGATCCAGGGAGCTTTACTATACCGTGTACTATTGGTTTTAATTATTTCGAGCATTCCTTATGTGATTTAGGTGCTAGTGTTAACTTAATGCCACTATTTATTTACCGATATCTTGGATTAGGATAAGCTAAACCTACAACAATCTCATTGTAACTGGCTAATAGGTCTATCGAAAGACCAAAGGAAATTATTGAAGATGTGTTAGTCAAGGTTGATAAGTTCATATTTTCGGTAGGTTTCATTATCTTGGACATGGAAGAGAATTCAAATATTACGTTAATCGTGGAAAGACCTTTCATGGCTACCGGGAGGGCACTTGTTGATGTATATAATGAGCAGGTCATATTCAATGTGTTCAATGTAATGAAACACCCATTAACTTCAGAT